ATATATAAATTAAATTTATTGGTACATTCTAGGTAGACAGTGCAGTTACATTCATTCATTACTGGGATCTTGTACCTTTACATGCCAGGTCTTGGTTCTCATTTTTTCCCTTTGTCCCCACCTTCCCTTCACCCTTCCCTTCCCCCTCTTTAAACACTTTAATTCAATTTTTACATTTTCTCATATTTTTTTCCTTTTCCCTTATTAGTAACTATATTTTCTAAAGTGTGCATTGTAACACATTCTGAAGATATTCTTCCAAATCAAACTGTATGAAAAGTCTTATGAAGACAAAAACATTTATTAGTTATTTCTTTAGCAAATAATAATTTAAAAACTTAAATGAAAGCAAGAATGTTCACAAAAATCCAAGAGCTTGATTCAAAATTTTCATAGGAGGAAAGGAATGAAGGAATCAGCACCCTATCTCCTGATAGTAAGCCTGTGTACTGCAATCATGTCAGCCAGTCCCAGGATGCCACATGAAACCTCACTTAAGGGCACATGCTAAGTAAGTGCTACTCAAAGTATGGTCCCTTATTGGCAGCTGGGCAAGCTATTTGTTGCCAAGAAAAGATAAGGTACACATACCAGCATGTAAATTAATTGTATTACACTGAGCACACTAACATGTGCATGTGACCACCCCTTCAACCTTCCAACCCTCCTTTGGTAGTTATAAATTTTCTAAAGAAAGTAGCACACAGATTTCCTTCTGGTGCAAGTTCCTTTATGTTGCTGAAAGCCAGCATGTGAGGTAGTACAAACTGTACAAAAGTATAGACTGTCATAGGAAAATATCCATGTGTGTCCCCCTCCCCTTTCAGACAGGCTGGCTTTGAATTCACTATGTAGCCCAGGCTGGCCTCAAACTTGTGGCAATCCTCCTGCCTCAATCTCCTCAACATGGGGATTACAGCACATGCCGCCACATCTGGGTTTGTCTTCATTTTTAATTTTTTATCTTTTTTTGGTACAGGGGATCGAACTTGGGACCCTGCACTTGTAAGGCATGTCTTCATTTTTAAATGAGAAGTGAAAAACTTAAATGAGCATCAAGCTAGCAAAGCTAAATATATATTGAAATATTTGTCAAATCTTCTGTAAGTCAAAAAGATGTCTTTTGCAGTGCACATACTGCTGAGTAACAAGTAGTAAGCAACTCACTTTATACGGAACTATAAAAATTTTAAAAATGCTATTTTCTCCTTTATTAATTTTCAGCACTGATGAGTTTTCTCCCCCTTCCGATACCTGTGCTGCTGTTGGAGCCTCCTGCCTGCCCTGCCCTCCCTGCCTGAGCAATATGCCTCAGAGGCAGGAGCAGCCTAGAGTGGAAGGCATGGGAGTGGTTTCCTAGGGAGCCCTCCCAAGGGCTAAACACTAGTTTTTCTTCTTTCAGTTTCTCTTTGGACAGGTTCAGAAGCCACCATCTGACCTCACACTCTAAGGGAAAATATTTAAGAAATACAGAAAAGCACCTACAGTTCTGGCACACGATAGGCGGCGGCATCCGCTCACCTCTGGCTTCCTTGGATCTCACTCCTCACCATGACCCCCATTCTCGGCCCACACCTCACTGCCCATCCCTTGCGTATGCCTGGCTCTCAGCTCTGGGACTTTGTGCCTACTTCTCCCTTGGCTTGCTGGTGTCACTCTCTGTCCAGGTCACGTTTCTTCTCTTAGGAGGCTGCACTCATCAGCTCTCTTGCAGCTCGCCCTGACACCCTGGGTTTGGGCAAAGTTTTCTTTCTCAGCCTCCACACTTTCTGTTCTTGCTTCAATCTGTGCAGGCCTATGACAATGTTCTTACTTCTGTTTTCCTTACATGATCTAACTATTCTGACAGTAAGGTGAAACCACACCTTATATGACTGCATTCCAAACATCTCTATAGGAGACAATGTATGTTTACAAAGGAATAGATATATAAATCAAAGCTTTCAGAAGTATGTACTTCTATGTTCTACACAAGGTTTTTTATTTTTATTTTTACCTTTTTAGACAGGGTCTTGCTATGTGGTTCAGGCTGGCCTTGAACTCACTGTGTAGCCCAGACTGGCCTCGAACTTCTTGTAATCTTCCTACCTCACCCTCCTGAGTGCTGGGATTACAGAAGTGTGCCACCATACCGGCTCCACACATGATTTTTATCAACATTTTTGGAACAGATACGCTCTGAAAGTCTTTAAATCCTGTCTATGTGGCTATGTCAGAAAACATATTCCAACAAAGATACAATATCAGAAAATAATATAAATTTAACATGGCAAGGGCTATGGTTTGTCATTACCAAATTCACATTGAAACAATACTTATTCTGGTGGGAATGAGAATTGACTTTTGGGGATTTAAGTCATAAGCCTCTGCCTTATGGATTAACGCCCTGAAAAAAGAGGTTTCTGAGTGAGGCTGCCCTGTCTTCGTCCCACAGCAGCCACCTCAATGAGATGCCTTTAAGGAAGCAGGGAGCAGCTCTCACTGGGAGACCTGCTGAGGCCTTGATCTTCGACTGCCTGGACTCCAGAACTATGAGAAACAAAATACCTTTCTGTATAAATTATACAATCTCAGGTACTTTGCTACAGTAGTACAAACTGTCAAGAAGAGAAAACTTGGGCCAGGGATTTAGCTCAGTGGTTCTACCACCTGCTTTGCAAATGAAAGACCTGAGTTCAATCCCTGGTACCAAAAAAAAAAAAGAGAAAGAACAGAAAACTTAATTGTCGCTTTATGTTATAGCTTTTATACAAAAGGGGAAAAGAACAATAGTAATGATCATAACATGTTAATAAAAAGCACCTATATAGAAGACTTTAAAATAAGGGACTAGGGATGCTAGAGTACCCTTGCATTTAATCCCCTGTGCCAGAACAAAACAAACTCTTCAATATAAATAATACTTATCTTTAGATGTTTGTGTTGTTAATCACTATATTAGCTTTATAATTTTCAGTATTTTTCAAGTAGAATTTATTATCTTTATAACCAAGAAAAACACTGTTTCAGAAGGCATAAAGCAAATGACTTTAATCAATTTCTCTTTTAGGGAGTTTCTCTTGACATTATGATACTTAAATACTTAAGCAGCCAGGATGGTTGCTGACATTGCTCCTAAACTGCAGCATAATTACGTGGGTCAACCTTCCTTTTACATTCAAGCAAAGACCTTTCTGGTAGCAGTACAGTGTTTGGAAAATATCTCTACAAAAAGCTTTTCTTTGATGAAACCTAGACTTCAGTACCATATTAACACCTACATTAACAAATATAAAGCACTAAACATAAATGAATAGTTATGGCCTTATCTTTTTGGGTTCGCTTTTCTGGATTAGTATCACAGGACTCTAAATGACTATGGCTTGTAGGAGACCTAATATGCACACACACACACCCGGCCCTGGCGTTCACACTAAAGCACGCCTTAGTGTATTATGGAAACAGACTGTGTTACAGGTACCAAATAAAGCTGATCTCCCTGTAACAGATTTACAAAAAAGAATAAATTTTTATGAAGTAATTTTGAGCAGTAAAATGCAGATTAATTTCCCAGTTTGGCCGTCTGACTAAATTAGGGCTTAGCAAATGTTTTCTGTAAAGGTCCAGATAACAAATATTTTAGATTAATGCTATGTAGACCAAGAGGCAAAACTGAAGATGTTATACAGGTATTTAGACAATGAGAAAAATTTCAATGAAAAAAAAAATCTATTGACTAAATTGCAAATAAAGTAATAATGGAGTACTTTTCTTAAAATAATAGAGGTCTACTAAAGTTAAGGAGGCTAATCGTTTGTGGGGAGAATATTTTCCTTAAGTGGGGTTCAAAGTTAATGTTTCCTACCATCAAAATCATTTCAGGGGTGGGATCGTAGCTCAGTGGTACAACACTTGCCTATTATGGGTAAAGCCCTGGTTTCAATCCCGATACCACACACACACACACACACACACAAAATCACAAACATTCATCTGTTAATGCTAACTACCAAACTGCACTGGATCTTACACTATGTGGTTTAACTGAATAATAAAGTAACTTCTATTCCACTGTGCCTTAAAACTGTGATACTAAAGTTTATTTTCTTCCCGTTTTGTCATGACAGCTATACAGTGACAATAAAAAACTGTAACATACCACAATATGGTGCCACGTGTGGCAATCAAAACACTACTGAGTTGCAGTTGTGTCACTGAGATCTATAGCGCACCAGGCAGCAGTGTGCAATGATGAAGGAGGTCTCTGTTGCAATTACTCAACTTTATTGGTAAAGCAGTCACTGACAGTAGGTAAATGAATTTATATGGTTGTGTCTAATCAAACTTTAATTATAGACACTGAAGTCTGAATTTCATGTAATTTTCACATCATGAAATATTCTTCTTTGGATAATTTTTCATCCATCAAAAAATGTAGAAAGTACTCTTAGCTCACGTACTCGCTATAAACAATAGGCAGCAGCACTGGGTCATTTTTGACCTGCAGGCTACTGTTTGCTGACCCCAAAACTGCACGACCGAGATACTAATCTTACCTTCTGGCAAGCTGCCTTAGCTGTTCAGCACATTCGTTGTCTGATTTCTGGTTAATAAGTTCAAGGATGTTCATACTTCTATGAAAATGTCCACAAGACAAACTCACACTAACAGCGGTTTCGTGTTTGTCCCCCGTAAGTACCCATACTTTGATACCAGCCATTCTCAATGCTTCAATAGTTTCTCGAACTTTATCTTGTAGTCTAAAAATCAAAGAAACAAAATTGGTTGAAAAGAATCATTTTCTGACTGCATGTTAAGTCATAAACCATATAGCACATGTGCGTATGTGGTAGGTCAGGACCTGACCTAGTTATACTATTGTATAACAATATAACTGAAATTTCCTCTCATTCAGAAGAAATAAAAATAAACAGACTAGTATTTATCAACCACATGGAATCAATCAACGACACATTTTAAGAGTGTATCTACAAAGTTGATTTTCATGAAACTAAACTGCACAGTTTTCATAAACTATTTTATTTGAAAGTCTTACATTATTATTATTATTATTATTATTATTATTATTATTATTATTATTGTTTTGGCAGTGCTGGGGATTGAGCCAAGGGCTACATACATGCTATTCAATTGCTCTGCCACTGAGCTGCATCCTCACCCTCAGGAATTCTTGTTTTTTGTTTTTTTGAGATAGGGTCTCACTATATAGTTGAGACTGCTCTGGAACTCACTATGTAGCCCAGGCTGGTCTCAAACTCACTGTGATCCTCCTGCCTCAGCCTCCTGGGTATGGTGATTACAGGTGTGTGCCACCCCGTTTGGCTTCAAATCACTCATTGTTAAAAAATTAAGACCACGAAAAACAAGATAATACTAGAACTACAAACATATAGTAACAGAACTATAATAATAGAACCTATAAAACATAGAGACTAAGGCCAAGGATATAGCTCAGTGGCATAGTGCCTGCCTGGCAAGCTAGAGGTCCTGAGTGTGATTCCTGGTACCAAAACCAAAAACCAGAGACTTGAAGAAGAAGAAAAATTTTGATCCTGTCATGTGTCTGGAATGGTCTTTCTGGAGTGGAGTGAACATCTGAGCTCTATTGTATAACAGGTATTTGTAGATGGATAGAGAAGGGAAAGATCATCCAGGCAGAAGGCAGAGCCTTGCCAAGGAAGAAACAAAAAACAATAGTGTTCAGTCGCAGGCATGCAGTGTGGTATTACTTGAAGCATAAAGTAAAGGAAGCAGTGGTGGGAGATGAGGCTGGAGAATTAAGCAGGTGTTAATGTCTCTCTATGGCACCCTAGGAGAACTAGACTTCACTGTTTTTCTTTCACCTACTTTGGATATCTGCTAGAATAAAGCAGTATATACTGACTGGGAAAGATCAGGCTTTGGTTATCTTTATTTTATGTTAACAACCAGAATTTGTTTACTATATGAGAACATTCGGTTAAAAATACAAGAAAAATCATACTGATTATTTATCTGACACTCACCTGTCTTCTACTGCTGTAGCCCCCAGTAAAATCAGGTCTTTCTCTATGAACTGGAAGACTTCAGCCAATTTCTCTTCCCGTTGCTGCAAGGCAGTCCTGGCTTCAAAAAGGCGTCTGTCTATCTCTTCATATTCTTTAGGTGTAAATTGTCTATAGGCTATACACAGAGTTCTTAGCCCTTTCTGAAACAAAGAAAAAGTGAAATAATGAAAACCAAGAGGTTATTGAAATAAACTGAGGACCCTGGGCTCTACTGTTAGCCCTGCAAAAACAAAACAAAAATGAACCCCCTAAACTGAGAAATTATTACCAAAACATTCAATGGTAAACAACTTAAAAAGTACTATCACTTAGTGATAGGAAAGAAATGAAATGTTACAGAGCCCTACGGATCTGAGTTATGGATTACATGTTATCAAGAGCTCTTTCAGTTTCTGATCAATTCTTTAAAACTTGCTCAAAATGATTAAGGTTATTGAATTGTACAGTGTGAGAGTCTAGAAAGGACCATAAAAAGTACCTTCTTTGTGATTTAAAAACCACTACATGGAAAGTTAGAAAGTTCCGTATTGTACCTTCAAGACTACATGTACAGAGAGATAGCACCAGATTCTATTCACCAATTTTGGTTTTCTATGTGTCTTTCTCAAAACATCAAAATAAACATGCAATTTTTAACCAAAACCTCTCGGCCCTAGTGTGAATCCTGTCATGGAAAGGGATGATGCTGTTTAGTTTGTGCAAGTGTAGGCTTTCATGCTGTCTTACTCCTAAAAGCTTTTGGGTATACCTTAAAGAAAGAAATTAATACTATTCTAGGATTGGTAAGTGGAGATGAATTTTCTAAATTCATTTTTTTTTTTAAAGATAGTCTCACGGTGTGGCTCAGGCTGGCCTTGAACTCACAGTGATCCTCCTGCCTAAGCCTCCCAAGTGTTGGGACTACAGGAGTGAGCCACAACATTCAGCTTATATTCAACCTTTACACTTGAAGCTACCAGGAACAATTAGCTCTGGGGGTGGATTAAAAAAAAGAAAGGAGCTGTATTATGTACATCTACCAAACTCCCCAAGAAGATTGTAAAATATATGTACTGCAAACATGTACTAATAATTTTTTAAAAATAATAATAAAAGAAAAAAAAACTTCTGGGTCCAGAGATTATGAGGCTACATCTAGTTGAACGCCTTGGGGTAAAGGAAGCCGCGGCTCTTAAAGCTTCTGCTGAGAGGAGTCCCAAGTGGCTGAGAAGGACATATTTTGTTTCGCAGTGAAACCCTAGAGGTACTGTAATAGATTTGGCTGGCAGAGTCCCTAAGGGGTCTGCTCATAGATGTGTCAGACATGGCCCTGGCCCCTGCCCCAGAGATGAAAGAAGTGGGTGGTAGCTGCTTCTGACAGGGTCCCCCAGCGGCAGTGGCTGCTGTGACCCATGGCTCCTATCTCCCCAAACCCTCCTTTGAAACTGTAGCTTCAAGGCAGGTGTGAGGGCGTACAATTGTCATCGCGACATTCTGAGAGGGTGAGGCAGGAGGATCCTAAGTTCTAGCCCAGCTCAGGCAACTTAGTGAGATCTTGTCAAAAAATAAAAAGTGAAAAAAGGTGGGGGCAATGGGAAGGTAGTTCAGTGCATAAGCCCTGGATTCAATTCCCAGCACCCAAACAAGCACACAAACATAATGGTCCTTGCAACCGGTTTGATGAGAAAATATCTTGTATTTTAGTATATTAAAAGATATATAAAGAAGGTGGAATGGACAAATAGTGCAGAAATTCCACAATTTTTGACAACTGAGCCTCAAAGTTTTCATAAATGTCTTTGTGAGAGTGTGTGTTTTGGTACTAGGGATCAAACTTGGGACTTTGTGCTTGTGAGGCAGGAGGTGAAACCAGTAAGCTAAATCCTCAGCCCCCATAAATGTCTTTTAGAGCTTTTTCTTTCTTTTGTTTCATCTTGTAGTATACTGGGGTTACGAACTGAGGGCCTTCACACTGAGGTGCATTTCCCAGCCCTTTATTTTTTTGAGACAAGGTCTTGCTAAATTTGCTAAGTTGTCCAGCATTGGCTTAAGCTTGTAGCCTCCTATGTGCCTCCCAGAGCGCTACGATTACAGACATGTGCCAACATGTCCAGTTTATAGTTTTTTTGGGGAGGGTATTGGGGACTAAACCTGGGATGTTGCACTTGTGAGGCAGGCAGCAGAACTACTGAGCTAAATCCCAGGCCCCAGCTTATAGTTTTTAAATCACAGAAATTTGTACTCACCAAAGCAAATTCGTCTACGTGAATTCTGGTTTTTTCTATTTCTCCACCTATGCAATTAGGGAGAATTGATGATTCTGCTCCTTTAGCAAATAAAAGTTTCTCACCTAAAAGGAAAAAAAAAAAGTTATCAAGCTCTTACTATGTAAATAAAAATTCATGAAAGTTGAGATTGGTTACCTGAATATGCTTGAACAATTACACTCATTCTCCTACGATCTGAATCAAATTCCAGAACATGAAGCAGTTTGTACCTAAAGAAAGTAAGAAACACAGAAATCCTATTTAAAATAAGTGACTTATTTGGAAAGAATTACTATAAAAAATAAAATACTAACTTAAAATAAATTAACTCAATTACATCCTCATGTATGGGTTATGAGTCATCAATAACACTACTGGACAGAAAGAAGGAATTGACAATGGTCTGCACCAAATACTGTGTACTTTACATACCTTAGGTCATTTAATAAACAGTAAGTAATTTGCCTAAAGTTAAATAAGCTTGTGCACAGCAAAGCAAGAGGTGGAATTCAGACCTGTTTTGCTCCTTATTTTTCTCACTAAAAGGTGACTGATTCTCTCCCCTCTTTTCTGTCCTAATCCCTCACAATAAACAACACACCAACACCCACACCCACCCTGAATGCACCCACGCGATCCCCTCTGAACCTGTGTATGTGTGTCTGGTGGGTTGTTTTGTAGACTGGGGAATGAATGCCTGTTTAGAGAACTGAAAAAGAGTTGTGTGGATGGGTGAAGGGATGGGTGGCTTAGAAATCTCCCAGATGAATCTTGTACAATGATATACATATGGGACACCTTATAAATCTTAAAGAAAAACAGTGAGTTAAATGATAGTTTAAACACTGATGAAATGTGCTAGACAAGCTTCCACATGAAAGAGGCCAGCGGGCTTGGGATACATCTCAGTAGTAGAGAGCTTGCCTCTCATGCACTATGCCCTAGGTTCAAAACAAAACAGTAACAAAAGAAAGCAACCAAAGAATGGGCCCTATTTGGTATGGAAAAGCACAGATGGAGTTGAGATATATACATAAAGGACAAAAATTTATAAACGGTGTTAGGCATGAACTAATTATTCGAGTAGAAATACTGGAAACAGACTTAATTACAGGATATATAAGGAAAGCTGGGCAAGGAGTGGATCAGTGGTGGAACAATTGCCTAGCATGTGTGAGGCTCTGGGTTTGAGTCCTAGCATGGTAAAAACAAACAAACAAACAAACAAACAAACAGTTATAAACAGCATTTTCTTTATTGAGTAAAAACCTGTAAAACCCAACCCCAGGAAAATCTAAGCTTTAAATAAATTCATGAACTCGTAAACTAAAATACTGATTAGATTCAAAGCAGAATATTGTTATAACCCTGATAAATGTAATATTGACATCATTCTACAGCAGAAGTTAGCAAACTTTTGTAAAATGCTAAATACAAAATAAATATTTTGTGCCTTGTAGGTCATTTATGGTTTCTGCTGCATAATCTTTCTTTTTCTATTAAAATAACGCTTTAAAAATGAAACATAGTTTATGGGGTATACAAAAGAGATTGGAGGTCAGATTTTCCTGTGGGCAAGTTTACTGCTCTTTGTTCTACACTATATAGCTAATAAGAATATCACAATATATGAAAAAAAAATTACCGTTCCAGTTTTCCAAGTATTTCAATTTCCATAATTTCTTCAGAACTGCCAATAAATACAATGCCAATTCTAGGGATTAAAAGAACAGGAAATACAAGATTTTAAGCAGTGATATTTATTTTTATTACATAGATTTTACAGAAAGCAAAAAAAAAAAATTTGGGGGGGTACCGGGGATTGAATTTGGGCCCTTGTGCTTGCAAGGCAGGTGGCAGAACCACTGAGCTAAATCCCAGCCCTACAGTAAGCAAATTTTTAAGAGATCTTTAAAAACTTAAAATGAATTTATGCTTGAAAATTCTAAATGATGATTCTTTGCTCTTCTAATGTTTGCTTAAAAGTGTTCAGTGGTTAGAAAATGAGACCAAACTACCTTGCAGCAGCTTCCACTAGCGCCTTTTCATCTGGGGAAGAGGCATAGTACTCTAGCTGGGAGGGTGCCAGGCTGGCCTGCCAGGAACCGTCCCCAATGCCGTCACTTTGAACACTGCTGATCTGCACAGTATGGCAGAGACTGACTGCTTTGAAGAAGAGACCATGTTCTTTAATCTGTAGAAACATAATATTCAAGATAAAAGCACCATTCCTAAATACTATTTAGGAAACCAGATACTAGTGATTAAACCCAGGACCTCACCCATGCTAGGCAAGTGCTCTATCACTGAGCTACATCTCTTTCTCTTATTTTGAGACAGGGTCCTGCTAAGTGTCCCAGGCTGGCCTCAAATGTGTGATCCTCCTGCCCCGGTCTCAAGGGTAGCTGGGATTATAGGCACAGGCCATCATGCCTGGCTCAGAGATAGAAGTCTAAGTGCTAGAACAGGGTGCCACAACCTGGATCACCTGAATAAAAGCTGGCTGCTGGGCCGGGGCTTTTAGCTCAGCAGCACTGTCTGGCAAACTTGAAGTCCCGAGTTTGATCTCTATACGCTCCCCCCAAAAAAAGGTGGTTGCTTCTAATTTCAAAATGTGAAATGTCACACTGGCTTTAAACCCTTCAACATTATGTGAACCTTCAATCATTCAACCTTTCTGGGAGGTAAAGCAGATAAAGCAGGACCCTGCCCCACTTTGGTGGAAAAAGTGAGGTCTCAAAAATAGTGTTCATTAACTTTCAATTCTATTTCTCATTAAAGTCTTTTTCATTTCAAGATAGTAACAGCTTTCTTAAATCAGTTCTATTTAAACACCTAAAGAGCTAGGGCAGGCATACTGTACATTATTAATAAAACTGGGCTTTAACTATAAATCCTTAGGGTTTTGTTTTGTAGCACTAAGTCAAAGACATACATTTCAAATACATATATTCCTTGGTCTGTTGGACATTAACTTTTCCCCTACCACCCATCAATTACTGAAGAGAATTAATTAATATAAAATCTTTACTTATTCAGTTAAAAATTGCTTACTAGTTCATTTTCATTTTCAGGACTGGTTCTAAAAGAGGAACTGCTTGTAAGATGGGCAAAGCTGCTAAAATGGGATAAACCACTAAGATAAGATAAGTTTCCTTCTGAAGAGTCAGGTGTTGGCCCTTCAGGTACAAGTCTACCATCAACTTCTTGGTATTTTATGCCGTTAATTGAACATTCCCGGAACTGCATCTCATTTTCTGTTAGTGTTCCAGTTTTATCTGTAAACACATAATTCACCTAGAGAAACAGAAAGCAAAATAAGATAAACCTTCATGTTCATATTCTTATGGTGAAAAACAAAAACTTCATCCTGTGTCACCTAAAGTCTAGTTTATTGTTCTATTCATCTATAGAATAGAAGAGATTCTTATTGTCCAAGCACAAATAACACAGAAACCAAGGAAACAAAAAGAGGTAACACCAATATTTTAACTCTCCATACACTCTGAACTTTGCAGCATCTTAGACCCATGTTCATCTGTAGAGTTGGCTGAAAATGAGACATAAGAACTTCATTTCTACCTCGTGGTTAAGCTGTTTTATAAATAGCAGGGTTCAAGAATACTGAAGTAAGGGTGGGAAGGATGCTTAACCTAGAAAGTGAAAGGGTAGCTGGGCCAGGAGAAATGGCACAGAGCTGGCTGGGAATTGGAACATAAAATGATAGCAACAAAGTTAGAGGTAAAAAGTTGTCCAACATGGATAGAAGAAATTGAAACTGAGGGCAGAAAATAAGCACAGTTTAAAAAGTTTAAAAGAATATATTTTAAAAGGTAGATAAGACAAATTCTTTTATTACTCTTTGAATCTAATTCCAGAAAATGTATCAGAGAGGAAGGTAGACCTATCCCATCCACGAAGAGAAGGATATAAAAGTTAAGTCTTGATACAGGCTGGATTGCCACAAGGGTTTAATTGGCTGCAATGATATGTCTGTCTGTCTGTCTTTGTCTTTCTCACCATACATGTGTATTAATTACATATAAATAGGTGGGATTTTCCCCAGGAATATAAGATTTAACACAAAAATCAATCGATATAATCCACCACGTTAATAAAATGGTATTTGTCTTTTATTCAGTGAATAAAATTACCATCTTAGCCAGGCAGAAAAAGCATTTAACAAAATAAATACTCTTCATGATAAAAACATTCAACAAATTAGGAAAGTTTTCTTTTTCGGTACCGGGGATCGACCTCAGGACCCTGTGCTCCCAAGGCAGGTGGCAGAACTACCGAGCTAAATCCCCAGCCCCCAAAAATTAGGGATTAAAAATGAACTTCTTCAACTTGATAAAAGGTTACTGACAAAAATCCTTCTGATATCATGCTGAACACTTTCTTCCTAAGAGCAGAGAAGACAGATGTATGTCACTGTCGTTTTTATCAACCTTGTACTGAAGGAGTCAGTTGTGGCACACGCCTGCATTCTGGGAGGGTGAGGCAGGACTGCAAGTTTGTGGCCTGTTTGGGCACCTTACTGACATAGTGAGATCTCGTCTCAAAATAAACACTAAAACAGGCAGGGATGTACCTCAACGTGAAGGCCCTAGGTTCAATCCCCAATAC